CAATATATTCTACACACACTAGATATCATGCTTTTCTCTGACTTTACCATATATTAAAAATGAATTTCCATGTTGGCACCTGATCTACTTTATTCTTTTAAAAATATACATTTTTATTGATCTCAGAGAGGAAGAGAGAGAAGGAGAGATAGAAATATCAATGATGCCCTAACCGGTTTAGCTCAGCGGTAGAGCATCGGCCTGTGGAACAGTCCCAGCTTTGATTCCGGTCAAGGGCATGTACCTTGGTTGCGGGCACATCCCCTATTGGATGTGCAGAAGGCAGCTGATCAATGTTTCTCTCTCATAGATGTTTCTAATTCTCTTTCCCTTCCCCTTCCTCTCTGTAAAAAAAAAAAAAAATCAAATATATATATAAAGAAACCTCAATGATGAGAGAATCATGGATCAGCTGTCTCCTGCACGTACCCTACTGGGGACGAAGCCCACAACCGGGGCATGTGCCCTGACTGGGAATCAACTGTTACCTCCTGGTTCTTAGATCGACGTTCAACCACCGAGCCAAACAGGCCGGGCTACTTTACTCTTTTTGATAGCTACATATTATTCCATAATATTGATAAAACATCCCTTATTTAACCACTTCCATGCTGGTGAAATTTAGAATGTTTCCAATTTGGAGCTATTGCAGAAATGCCGGAAAGAATAGATTTTCACACTTGTGCTCATATTTCGGTAGAACCATTTCCAGGGATGGAATGGCTACATCAGTGTTCATTTGCCTTTTCACCCACTAAAACTCTGGGAGAGGCATGAATTTTCTTAGCATCCTCATGGTCGGAAGCATGAAAGATAAACTCTTAGCTTAAAAAGAACAAAAGAAAGTACTGTGTAGTTGACTAAAACAGGCAAATCAGTTTAAAGGAGGGATAACTAATGAAGAATAAGAAAGCAGAGAACAAAAGTCAGAGACCATTAGGAATGCCAGCTGGTGGAATTTGCAATGGAAGGTGGGAATTATCTGTTGTGAAATGGCTCAGACCTTGAACTGAGCATCGCTTTATGAAGTACAGCTGTTGTTAAGCTCACCCGGTGTGCCACAAAGAATAGCATCACGTCCTTGGAAAATCTTGGTAGTCCTGTGTCTCAACAGCCCTAAATGATTTTTTTAAAAGAAGGCAGTACCATCCCAGACCCCCTATTGCTTCACCCATTCATTCATTAAACATTTATTAAGCTTCAATGCCATTCTACTCGGCATTGGGAATATAAAAAGAGGAAGAAAAGACCCTGACCTCAGTTGCTCAGTCTTAGCTCAACGGTAATTAAGAAGAGCTTCTCACTCTCTGGATGAAGCAGTGCTTCAACCCTGGCTGGTCAAGGCTTTTGAAAACCAATGGAGTGGATTCTTTCCTGAATATCCATAATTATCCTATTCAAGGGTATGCAAGTTAATGACATCAACTGCTTTTCTAAGCTGCAGTCTTGGCAGTTTCTGTCTGTGTCCCTGGGAAAAGCACAAGGTACAAAGAAACTTTAATTAGATGTGAAGAATCAATCAATCGGAGCGATCATCCAGTGTCCTATGGTATCCAATGACAAGATGGTGGGAGAACAGAGTAGTTCACTACTTGAGTCATGTGCTTGTATTGACAATTTCTTAGGAATAGGTTGGGGAGTGCAAATCTTGAGTGAGAAGGCACTTTATTTCATACACATTGTATTTTTGTCTTGTGAATGTACGATAAAAATATTTATCATTCAATAGCAATGCAGGTCTCCCATGTAGGTTCTCTGTAAACCTGAGGGCAATCAATTAATACCAACTTTAAAGTGGGACATATTTAAGAAACATATAAGTGGGTCTTCAGAGAACTATATTAGGTTGTAACCAGAACTTTGTATTAATCAGAAGAATACATTATTTGGGGAATGAGGAATCGGGGAGGGGAATGGGGGGAGGAAGTGTCCAAAAGATTTCAGGGAGCATGGACCACAGACCTGACAAGAAACTTGTTATAATGGAGATATCTGCTTTCTTTACATTTTCCAAATGTTATGGGTTAAAGGAAAAAAGCACACAGAAAATTTGCTAGTTTAACATTAAACACAATTTCAAACCACATTAATGTAGAACTTGTTTTAAAAGGTAACTGACAGCTTTGCTTTTGACCTGTCTCATAAGGTGAGTTCTCTTAAAACACACACACACACACACACACACACACACACACACACACACACAAAATCTTTATTGTTGCATTACATATGTCCCCATTCTCCCCTTCCCCCACCCATATTGATCTCTACTAGCCCACCCCTACCCCAACCCCAGGCCTTTACCACCCTAGTGTCTGTGTCCTTGGGTTATGCATATATGTATATAAATTCTTTGATTGATCTCTTCCTCCTGCCCCCTTCCCTCTGAGGTTCCTCGGTCTGTTCCATATTTCTATGTCTCTGGATCTATTTTGTACATCAGTAATTTTACTCATTAGATTCCACATATGAGTGAGATCCTGTGATACTTAACTTTCTCTTGACTGGCTTATTTTGCTTGCATAATACCTTCCAGGTTCATCCATGCCATTGCAAATGTTTTTTTTTTTTTTGATTTCTTTATTGATTAAGGTGTTACATGTGTCCTTATTACCCCTCCATCCCCCCGAGTTCTTTCTTTTTACAGCTGCATAGTATTCCATTGTGTAAATGTACCAAAGGTTTTTTGTTTTTTTTTTTTTAATATTTTATTGATTTTCTTACATAGAGGAAGGGAGAGAGATAAAGAGCTAGAAACATCGATTACAGAGAAACATCGACCAGCTGCCTCTTGCACACCCCCTACCGGGGATGTGCCCGCAACCAATGTACATGCCCTTGGCCGGAATCGAACCTGGGACCTTTCAGTCCGCAGACCGATGCTCTACCGCTGAGCCAAAGTGGTTTTGGCCCAACGTTTTTTTATTCACTCATCTGCTGATGGGCACCTGGGCTATTTCCAAATCTTAGCTATTGTAAATTATGCTGCTATGAACATAGGGATACATACATGTATCCTATGTTTCCAATTTCTTAGGATATATTCCCAGAAGTGGAATTACTGGGTCAAATTGGAATTCCATTTTTAATTTTTCTGAGGAAACTCCATACTGTTTTCCACAGAAGCTGCCCAGTCTGCATTCCCACCAGCAGTGTACCAGAATTTCCTTCCTCGCCCTTCCCCCCCATCCTCACCAGCACTTGTTTGTTGATAGCCATTCTGAGAGGTGTGAGGTGATACTTCCTTGGCATTTTGATTTGCATCCCTCAGATGATTAGTAACTTTGAGCATTTTTTTCATAAGCCTTTTGGCCTTGTGTATGTAAGCTGAGTTTTCTTTTGTCTTTAAATTACACGTGTTTAAACTCATATCTAGTCTCTGTGTATCAGAGCCGTTATTCTTTATTTTTATTTATTTATTTTAATATTTTATTGATTTTTTTAGAGAGGAAGGGAGAGAGACAGAGAGTTAGGAACATCGATGAGAGAGTGTCATTGATCAGCTGCCTCTTGCACACCCCCCACAGGGGATATGCCCACAACCAAGGCACATGCCCTTGACCGGAATCGAACCCGGGACCCTGCAGTCCACAGGCTGGCTCCCTATCCACTAAGCCAAACCGGTTTTGGTGGAGCCGTTATTCTTTAAATAGATTAGGTGCACTTGGACTTCTTGAAGAAAAATATCACCAGTATGTTCTTCTTTGCTTGAACATGGATGCATTACAGGAAAAATTAACTGGTCCTCAGAGCCATGTTGTTACTTCCCTACTTCATACAGTTGTCTTTTTCTTTTCACATGCTTGTCTGTTAGTGTGAGATGCAGTCAACAAAGTACTAAGGGAATAAACTTGTGCGAATCCCACCATTCAAAACAAAACCACGTAAACTAATGGTGCATAAAAGAAGCTGGATGTACTAAAACAACCCTATTAGTTGGGTACAGTTGGATACATCAAGGAATATGGCAATCCTCCGTTCAATTTGCAAAGCCCTTGGCCGGCCGGAGGAGGAGGGGATGGAAAAGTTTGGGTGAAGGATTTAAATGACTAGTCAAACAGTGAGTCACTGAAACTTTCCAGTTAATAATACCCTCTGCCGGGGCAGAGCCTGGGCCCAAGCGCTTTACGAGCCACATCACAGTTTAAGTTGTAATGTCTCACGATTTTACTGCCTCTTCCACCAAATGAATAGGTAAAATGAAACGCGCTCTGCGTTGGTTTGAAATGCAGGAGATGTTCTGGCTGGGAGAGGGGAGAAGGAAGGTGGAAAGAAAGAGAACAGGTAGGGATTCAGAGAGGCAGAGGCGGCGATAAAAGGGAAGAAATTTTCAGGAGCTGAGTTTCCCCTCCGTATCCTGTGCCTAACAGGTCGAGTGGACCAGAGTGCAGGCTGAGACACTCGCCAAGTCGCGCCAGGTCTTGCTTCGGTGACCCCTGGCCCCCCCACTCAGTGACAGGTGAGGCCGCTGAGCCGCCACCAGATCGCAACTTCCTCGCGCTGCCTGCCGGGAGCCCGAGCCGCTTCCGGTTGCTCCGGGCTCCAGAACTTCGACTCCCGTCAGCCCCCGGGAAAACCGCAGCGGGGTCGCGCGGACGCTGCCGGAACTCGTAGTCCCGTCTTCGCAGCGCTTCATAGTCGGAAGCGGGAACGCACAGGGCCGGGAACTACCAAGGCGAAGGTACGGGTGGCGGCGAGGGGTCAACCTGTGCCGGGCGTGGGGTTGGCGCTGAGGCTGTCGGAGGTGGTTGGGGTTGGGTGGGAGGAGATCCGCTCGCTTACACGAGGAGGATTGAGCCGCCGCCGCCGCCGTCGTCGCGAGTGCGGAGTCGGGACTTGAGCCGCCGCCGCCGCCGCGACGCCGCTGGAGTTTGGGTCGCTAACCCTCGGCCCTTCTGCCTCGCCGCTTCCCGGGGTCAGCGCGGCCTGCTTGTTCCACGCCGGTCGCCCCCGCCTCCATTTCCCGCCCTCTCTTCACCACACACACGGCCCCCCCGATCATGGATCCGGGCAGTGGTGGTGGCGGCGTCGGCGGTGGCGGGAGCAGCAGCAGCGGCAGCAGCAGCTGCGACTCGGCGCCCGACTGCTGGGACCAGGCGGACATGGAAGCCCCGGTGCCCGGCTCATGCGGTGGCTCTGGCGGCCCTTTGGCGGCGGCGGCGGCCGAGGCCCAGGGTGAACCCCTCAGTGCGGCCTTCAGCCGGCAACTCAACGTCAACGCCAAACCCTTCGTGCCCAATGTCCACGCCGCCGAGTTCGTGCCGTCCTTCCTGCGGGGCCTACCCCAGCCGCCGCCACCCTCAGCCGGCGCCTCGGCCAACAACCACGGGACCGGCAGCGGCGCGGGAGGCTCTTCGGGTAAAGGGTCGGGACTCGGGGCAGCCCCGAGACGCGGGAGGCAGCGGGGCTGCGAGGGCGGAGCAGCAGCCGGGGGGTCTGGGCCCACCTGGCTGGGGTGGGCTGGGATGAGGGCGGTGCGCCCCGCAGAGCCGGGGGACGTGGGGCCCGGCGGCACGTGGGGCGCTGACAGCGGAGTCGGGCGCCGGCAGTCTTGGGTGGGGCGGTCCGGGGCCGGGGAATCGGCCTCATGGGGTGGCGGCGGCGGAGGGCCGGGCGGGGTGGGAGAAGCGCGCTGGGGACACTGGCGGGGCTTGGGGCCGGGGCCGGGAGCCCCAGTTACCACTTAAGGTGGGAACCGTATGGAACGGAGAGGGGCGGCGGCAGGGCAGTAACACGAGGCCCAGAAGTGAGGACAGATGGAATCCCGAGCCTGTAGGTGGGCGTTGAAAGGTCCGAGGAGTTGGGGAGGACGAATCGAGTTTTCTCTTCTCCTTAGGCCTAGGAGAGAGTGTCTCTTGGCTGCAACTTCTATTATTGAAACTGTAATTACGTGTTAAATATCTGTGGCACCGAACCGGCTAAAGGAATCCCAAGATGCATTGCAGTCTTGTGATCCGACAGAAACTGTTGGCTATCAATACAAAGATCTTTTTCACCCTTCGCATTTTGTAAGCTTGTAAAGTTCACAAAATGTCACAAAGTTAGAGTACCTCATTTAATATGGATAGGAAATTACGTTAATTTGGGACTTGGACTTTCTCCGTCAGTGACAGGCTTAGAATTTTCAGTGTGTCAAAATCGTTTACCTTATTCAGGTTGTTGGGTATAACTCACTTTTTTAATGTTATGTGTCAGTTAAGTAGCCTATTCAGACACTTGAGCATTTGTTATAACAATAGTAGTCATGTGCGGTTCTGACCTTAGGTATTAAGACAAACTTTCAGATGTTTCAAGTTCAGTTCGGTCTTTAATAACCTTCCTGTATTTAGGGGGCTGCTTCAGTAATAGCATGCTTTCAGGTACTGATTTTGTAGGAATATCAAATGAGTGAACTTAAGTATTCTTATATAAAAGTTGCTTATTACCTTGTCCCGTGTTAGAACATTGGTCCTTCCAGGGTCGTGGGTTTGGTTCCCTCTGTCTTTCTCACCATCCCTTCCTCCTACTCTGAAAAGCAAAGGAAAAGATGTCCTCAGGTGAGGATTAACAAAATAAACAAATAAATAAAAGTTGCTTATTTAAGGAGCTTAAAGAGAAAAAGGGAAAGGCTGAATGTCCTTGCCTTCTAGTGAGGGTATGGAACTGAATCGTAGTTATTCCCAGCAATTTGTGAGAGCAGATTGTTGATTTCTCTTTAAAGTTCTGTATTGTAGTATTTTTTAGATAAGTGTACACCTTAAAAGTTTAGTTTCTTTAGAAACTTCTGCTACAATTTTTTTCTCTAGAGGTAAAAAGAGACTTTGGAGAAATACTTTTGCAAGTATGTACATATGTGAGCACAGTTTGGATTTGGTTGTTTTATTGACTGGTATTTCTTATGCTTGTGTGGGTGTTTGATGTTTTCCTTTTGAACAAGGAAGCTTACTTAGCTTTTATTTCTTTGCTTATGTCAAGCCATTTTGGCTACTTAAACAAATCCACTTAACAGCTCCTAAAAGTGCCTATTTCCAGTGCCTTATCATAAGGATCTCTGTTATCCAGACATTTTCTTTTTCAGTCCTCCCTCAATCTGAAGCCATCAGCACCAGTATAGCAAGACCTATTTCCAGCCTAGCTACCTATTAGCCATCCAGGGACAGCCATCAGTAATCAGGGACAGCTATCCTTAGAGTAGTGGTCTGGAATGATAGTCAATTGTTGAATAACTAGGCAGACTAGGGATTAACACTTTTATTTTTTTCAGTTAATAAATTTTTATTTAAGGAATTTCACATGTTCTGTCTGAGTCCTTCCACTGAAATCCGAGTTTGAGTCTTAATTGTCATCCCTTTTTGCTCAATCCAGTTGTCATTTCACTCAGTCCACAATCCTTGTAGTTGAGCTCCTTTGATCTACACTTGAATATGGACATCAAAAACTCTCCACCTAGGCCCTGGACTGTTTGGCTCAGTGGATAGAGTATCGGCCAGCGGACCAAAGGGTCCCAGGTTTGATTCTGTTCAAGGGCACCTACCTGGGCCGAGGGCTCGATCCCCACTAAATGGGCATGCAGGTTGATCCACGATTCTCTCAACGATGTTTCTATCAATCTCCCTTACTCTCTGAAACCAATAAAAATACTTTTTAAAAAAACAAAAAAAACAAAACCTCTCCACCTATAATTGTTGGGAACTGATTTCTTCAAGCAAATTTACTTTAGGCAATGGTTAGGCTCTGAGTAGATGGATCAGCCTCATTTAATTTCAGATACCCTCTAAACACGAATAAGTTAAAATCACCTTCACTCCTAAGCTGTCACTCCCTAGAACAGTATAGATCTTCGGGATATGTAAAATACTTAAAGAATAAGACATAAATTCAGATATTGTGTTCTTAAGATAAAACGCTAATGAGAAAAAGAAGTCGTCTTTGTTACAGTGTTATCAACATCAAAATTAAAATACTAAAGCAGTATGGTTGATATTTCCCTGATATTCTGTGCTTTTTTAAATGATTAATCCTATAGTCCTGAAGGAACCAGCATTTTAGGTATCATGTTCCTTCTTATATATATCAAAACTCATACTGAACAATGAGTTCTGGGTTAGGCATTAACTCTTACCCACGAGAATTTTTCCTCTTCCTGATAGTTGCTGATTTGCAGTTTTAATTCTTTTCTCTGTGACCAACTGGGAGTTAGAGATGTAAAAATATGTAGGGAAGTGGTTGTAAGGGAAGTCCCTACCTTATGGTCAACTTTTTTCTTTTTAATCAGAGACTTATTTTGATGTTACAGACTTTACCAGCTGCTTCTACAAAATGTGAGTTATGTTTTTAAAAATTATCCTTTGTAGGATATCTATTTGAAAAAGAATAGATTTTCTAAATTGAGGTCCTGACTTATGTGGGACTGTTGGATTGCATGTTCCAAGCCCATTCAAGTCCATAAAATACCATCAGAGCAGGAAACTATGCTTGGAAGAAGTAGGGGGGAAAATGGGAACAGCATTTAGATTGAGTTTACAAAGGAGGAATCATAAAGTTTGCAATTTTTTTTATATTAAGGAAATGGACAGTAGGGCTAACATGTTTCTTTTTGTTGTGAAGCCATAGCTGAAATTTGCCGTGTGTGTGTGTGTGTGTGTGTGTGTGTGTGTGTTTAAACTAGATAGATACCAGAGAGCACTTGTACAGTGTCATCCACCTTCTAGAAGGCTGCTGGTTATGCCTGTTTCCAGCCATCCCAGCTTAGGTTTCAGTGTTGACTTAGGATCTCTTTGAAAATTTAATATAGGGTTCCAAAAACATGACTAAGTAGAACCCATTAGGTGTAATTCATTTTAGTTCAGTACTCTGTACAGAGCCAAGTAAATTGGCTAAGTAATTGCTCTTTAAAGTAGAGGTCCTAAAATGAATGAAAATATGAAGACAAGGGTTATATATACCAGAACAACAAATGTTTTCCATGGTAGAATGTTCTTTAAGCTCCAGTTTGCACCTATTTCAGTCTCCCCCCCAGTAAATGAGAAACAGGTTTAGTTACTAGTCAGGGTTAGTTACTTGGTGTCTTAGTCCATTTGGGCTACTATAACAAAATATTACAACTGATAGAAAATAGACATTGCTCACAGACCTGGAGGCTGGAAGTCTGTGATGGGGTGCCAGCCTGGTTGAGCAAGGCCCTTTTCTAGACTATTGACTTCTTGTGTCCTCTTTCCGCAGCAGGAGCAAGGGAGCTCTTTGTAAAGACACTAATCCCATTCATGAGGGCTCCACCCTCATGAGGGCTCCACCTTCATGACCAAGGGCCCTCCAAAGGCCCCACCTACCACTATCACTTCAGGTGTTAGGATTTCAACTTAAGAATTGGGGGGGCGGGGGGGGGGGGTATAGGTGGGACACAAATATTCAGACTATAGCACTTGGATTTAAGAGCAGCCTAAGTAATGGTGTAATGCTCTTTCCACTTTTCCACCCTCAACATTTCTCAAAAATCTGCCATTAAAAAAATAAGTATAGAATAAAACCAGCAGGCTTCAGAGGAAGATCTAGTCCCAAAATGTAGCACATTATATTGTGGAACTTGAATTTTAAAAAGAAATATTTGTTTTGTAGTGCTTGGTTTTCACTGACTGCCTGTATGTTGGGAAGGGATTTTTTTTTTTTTTAATGATTGAGATATTAATATAACATGAAATTCACATTTTAAAAATATACTGTTCAGTTGTTTTTGGTATATTCACAAAGTTATGCAACAAAGTGTCATCCACCTTCCCTGGAAGGCTTGTTACTTGGTGGATGCTTGTTAATCACTCAATAGTCTCAAAAAATGTCTTTGGGGCCCTAGAGTAGAAAAGATACAGAATAAAACTGGTAATGCTTGTTTCCTCCAGAAGAACTCTTAAATATTATTATTATTATTTCTTTTTTTAAAATATATTTTATTGATTTTGTACAGAGAGGAAGGGAGAGAGATAGACAGTTAGAAACATCGATGAGAGAGAGTCATCAATCAGCTGCCTCTTGCACACCCCCTACTGGGGATATGCCCGCAACCAAGGTACATGCCCTTGACTGGAATCGAACCCGGGTCCCTTCAGTCCCCAAGCCGACGCTCTATCCAGTGAGCCAAACTGGTCCCTGCAAATATTATTATTATTATTAAACATTACCTATTGACTGATAGATAAGTGTGGATAAATAAGGTTCTTGACTTTAGATTTGTTTTCTTTTTCCTCTAAGACTGAAATGGCCTGCATTAACAGTTCTAATATACAGGATTTTTCAGGTTTCTGTGGGACAGTAAATAGAATAGAGTGGACCGAGGAGATCAGGGGAAATTATTGTTCCTGGAGTATCATGTGTATATATGACAGTGT